TTCACACCAGGGAAGGTCTCAAGACCATGCATGTCGATTTCATTGTCAAAGTGACCAATGTTGCAGACGATGGCATTGTTCTTCATCTTCCTCATGTGGTCAACCATGATGATGTCCTTGTTACCAGTGGTGGTCACAAAGATATCAACCTCAGAAACAACATCCTCAAGAGGAAGAACCTGGAGACCTTCCATGGTAGCCTGGAGAGCACAGATTGGATCAATCTCAGTCACAATAACGCGTGCACCAGCTTGTTTCATGGCAGCAGCACATCCCTTGCCGACATCTCCATAACCAGCAACAAGGGCAACCTTTCCAGCAATCATAACATCAGTAGCCCTCATGAGACCATCGGGAAGTGAGTGGCGGCATCCGTACAAGTTGTCAAACTGAAACACCAAAAGAATCAATACAACCATCAGTCCATAAGCTAACATTATCTTATCTAAACAAGATCTACAACAACAAGCATCTTAATTGAATCAGACTTCCATTAGCCAATTACAGGACATATAAGTATACATATCTAACCTAATCACAGCTGCAATTCATCAGCATATTAGTAAGTGGAAAGTTGTACCAAAGATCAGACATTTAAGTAACCATCTATTATCAGATTAACAAGAAAGATCAAATGAAATATGTTCCTATTATAATTCAAGTGACAATCTTCCAATTGGTGAACTTTAAGCTACTAAAGTCCACTACGACAAATAATCTACCGGAATGAGATTCTTGGATAAATTTCGACTGATTACTGATACTATACTTAGTATAGATCAACCCATTATTAAGTTCAAGTATAATTCATCTGTATAAGATCCAAGAAAATATATAACTATTCATATAAGATCTGTATTTCAAACAGTAATTGACAAAACAAAAATGCAGAGATCTGAAACACAAGAAACAAAAACAGAGTAAGCAAAACACACATACCTTGCTCTTGGTAACAGAGTCATTAACATTAATAGCAGGGAAAAGCAAAGTTCCATTAGCCTGCATTTGGTAAAGCCTCTTAACACCAGTGGTAGTTTCCTCAGAAACACCAACAAGTCTCTCCTTCATCTTAGTGTATTTTAAAGGATCAGTCTTTAAACTCTCCTTAATAATAGTAAGCACAAGTTGAAACTCAACATTATCAGTAGAACTAGGATCTGGGATTGTTCCATTCTTAGCAAACTCCTCTTCAGCCTTAACACCCTCATGAATCAACAGAGTAGCATCACCTCCATCATCAACAATCAGATCAGGACCACCACCTGGACCCCAATCAAGTGCCCTCTCAGTACACCACCAGTACTCCTGCAAAGTCTCACCTTTCCAGGCAAAAACAGCAGCACTGTCACGTGCAATGGCTGCTGCAGCATGGTCCTGAGTTGAGAAGATGTTGCAAGAACACCATCTAACTTCAGCACCCAAAGCAGTTAGGGTTTCAATAAGAACAGCAGTTTGGATAGTCATATGCAGAGATCCAGTGATCTTTGCACCTTTAAAGGGCTGTGAAGGGCCAAATTCAGCACGGGAAGCCATGAGACCAGGCATTTCAACTTCGGCAAGCTCGATTTCGAGCCTGCCGAAGTCAGCCTGGGACATGTCCTTCACCTTGTACTCGCGGCCAGAGGTGGTCTTCTCAACGAGTAGAGCCATGGGTAAGGCGAGTATAAGAGAAAAACTGAGAGAAAATGGGAGATTTTGAGATGAAATTGACAGAAAGAGGCGATTTTCTTTTCTTCCTTTGGGTTTTAAGGAAGAAGAAGAGTGTTGCAAGAAATAAGGGAAGGAAGTGATTGGTATAAATAGGCTTCTCTGATGGAAATGGACGGTCAAGATTTGTTTCAGATCTGAATAGTTGATTGGATTAAATTGAGGTTTGGTAGACCTACAAATTTGATAAATAAAAAATATCTAAAATTTTGATTGGATGAATGTATTTTCTTTTCAAAATTGGAAGTGCTTAGTTTATTTTTTCATTAAGGTGATGTTTTTAAATTTATTTCTAGGAGTTGGTTGGTTGGTAGCGATGATGGGGTAGAAAAAGATTAGTCATTTTGCTTAATCAAATCTCATTTATATTTGAATATTTTTTTATGAACGAGATTTTATGTGATGTGAACCTGAATTAGTTAGACTTCAATATGAATATCAGACACGAATGAGAAAGGATGATGTAGTAGCATATTTTCTTGTAATTAATACTCCCTTGCATTTTTCATTTTTTGATTTCGAATTTTATTTGATTAAGAGTGAAAGAGATCTCAATATATTAACGCTTGGAATAATAATTCTCTCTATAATAAAACCCCCTCGTTAGTTGGCATTGTTTTTAGGTAAATTGGGTGTGTAATAGACACACATGTAGTTATGTGATGGTGGGTTTTTTAATATACACGAAATTATTGTTTGGTGATATAAAAGGAACATACGGCTATTAGATACATGTAACTCGTGAAAGTATAATAGTTCAAATATTTTTAACCTATTCATTCTAAATACGATTTGTTTGAATTTGTCTTACATTTAGCAATTGATCCATAAAGCTCTGAAGGTTTTTATTGTATTTTTTGTGTAAAATTTGTACATTAATGGAAAGATATATTTGTGATCAAGATACCAATGATAGTTCATGAACCAAATTATAACATTGTATTTTATGGATGAATGCAATGATTAATCTCTTTTTTCTCTCAAATGTAACATATTTCAGGAAATCAAACATTACCTTGAAAAAAAAATGTTAATATTCGTGGCAATCAGTATAGGTATAATTAAGAAAAATTGTCCTCGAGAAAATAATGAATAATGTTTGAGCACAGCTAAAATGAGTCTCAAAAATTATACGTTGAGCCTCCACCTTATACATTTTAGAGATAAATGAATATGAACTATGCTCACAAGAACTCCCCTTTTACATGTCGAAACCTTTGCATGTTTACTTGTGTCAGGCTATTGTTCATGTTTTCAAATGTGTGATTTATTAAGCGATATTTTTTACCATGTTATAAAAACACTCTATTAAATTAAAAGTAAAAAAGATAAAATATTCAACAATACGATTATTTTAACGTCTCCCACATGAACCCAATAAAATTGAATTAGCTACTATAAGTGCACATCTTAATTTCCAAATTGCGGTGCGGCAAAAGGACCATGTTGTCTTTAATTAAAGTGACTCACAATAGTGACTACAATTTTATTTTTTTTCTGATTCAGTGTTTCAAAAAAATTATATTTTTCTTTTTTTTGGTAATAATTTTCTAGATAACATATATAAGGCCACAATATTAAAGTGTAATTTTATACATTTGACATAACTTTAATTTGAGATCACATGATCAAAAGTCTTCTTTATTTTCTTAAACTTCGTGTTAAGTCAAATTAGATCATTCTTTGTGAAACGGAGAAAGTACTACAATTTTTCCTTACAAAGAATAAAATTAGTTTCAAACTTTACTACATCATCGTTTTTAATAATCTATCTTAGTATATTTATTATTTATTACGTTTCAATTGATGCATCTTTTATTATTGTTGTTGCTCCTTTTTAGTAGACTTGATACTATTTTTTGTGGCGTATCATAATTTTCTCGTTATATTTAAATAGTTGTATTAGAGTCGACGGTCTTTTGAAAATAGTGTATCTACCTCCATATGATAATAATAAAATTTGCATATACTCTATTCTCACAAACCTCACTTATAAAATTTCCCTATATATTTGTTGATATTTAGAGTTCAATTAATTCGATTTTCCATTACATAATATTCATTCAAAACAGAAGGATTTTCTTTTCTATCAAGTTTTTACATATATATTAGAACTCGAACTCAAACCATAATTAATAGATGCATGATGTTTCTTTTATTAAACCATGGTTAATTAGACTATCTTATCTAATTGGATAGCATTAGGTGAAATGAAGTTGAAAAAAACAAAGAAAATTTGGTGGTGGTGGTTGGTGAAAGATCATTTAATTTTAGGCAAATAAGTTTATAATTACTTTATTTTTTTACAAGCAAATTTTGTTTTGTTCTCCCTTTAAAAAAGCTATTTCTTTTCCAACAAGCATTCAACTTTTTCACCCAAATATCTCAAATTTGAGGTCCTTTTAGATTGCACAAAATAGTTAGAAGAAGTGTACATACAAATTATTGTTTTGGCTAAATGGGGCTCAAATTTATGATCTGAAATTTCAAATTCTCCCAAAAAAAAAAAAATTCAAGTGTGTCATCATTTTAAATGATGTAAAGAGAGATTTATGCTCAATGTAGTTAATTATTTGTACAATTAGAAAAAAAAAATTAAGAATCTTTCATCTTTTTTTTATACTCCTTCATTTAAAAAAGAATGATTTTTTTTTAGTTTATTTTGAAAAGAATAGCCTCTTGTGACGTGTTTAAGGTCAGTAGATCAAAATAAAATTTTGTATTTGACCAAACTCTAATTTAGAATTACAAAATTCAAAAATTCCTTTATATTCTTAAACTTCTTTGTGAAACGAAAGGACATCTTTTTTTTTGATATTCTCTCCGTTTAAAAAAGAATGACTTTTTTTTTAGTTTATTTCGAAAAGAATGGCCTCTTGTGACGTGTTTAAGGTCAGTAAATCAAAGTACAATTTTGTATTTAATCAAATTCCAATTTAGAATCATAAAATTCAAAAATTACTTTATATTCTTAAATTTCTTTGTGAAACGAAAGGAGTTTTATTCACAAAAAGGAGTTATTTTGAGTGCTGAGGTGTGATAATCCCCAAGGTGGTTCCCATCCCTAAAGTTTAATTTAAAAAGTACAGTAATTTACTCCTTTCATCTCTATTATGCTTTTCGAAAGTCACAAATATAAATTTCAAAGACTACGCAAATCTTCACTAGGAGTCAACCATATGTTCCCTCTTAGAAGTGAACTCTCTCATATGGATGCATAAACAGAAGCCAAATAAGAGAAGAATTGCAATAACATCAAGTAAATAAAGCAAAGATGTAGTGAAAATGAAAAACATGATGCTTTGTTTCCTTGAAGCAAATTTTATAGAAACAAGAAAGCAAATGAATCTAACTTGGTACAATATCATATGACACCACCCCAACCATAATTCAAATATTATTCAAACACATTTAGGTCAACTTTCCAGCAAAATATCCCCCAACAAAAATAAAAACACACTACCTAAACAAAATAAAAGTATTAAAAACAAAACAATCATGCCGCCGTATCGTTGTTCCACTGTGAGCGTCTCTTCCCCTCAGTACCTGTAGTGAGCAGGCTTGTAAGGACCCTCAACAGGTACGCTAATGTAGTCAGCTTGATCCTTGGTGAGTTTGGTAAGCTTGGCTCCGAGCTTTCCAAGATGAAGGGCAGCAACCTTCTCGTCAAGGTGCTTTGGCAAGACGTACACCTTCTTCTCGTATTTGCCACTGCTCCTCTCATTCCACAACTCGAGTTGGGCAATGACTTGGTTAGTGAAAGAGCAAGACATCACAAAACTGGGGTGTCCAGTGGCACATCCCAAGTTCATGAGACGACCCTCGGCCAACACAATGATGCCACTGTTGGTGTCTGGGAAGACCCATCTGTCGGTTTGTGGCTTGATTGTGATCCTCTTCACACCAGGGAAGGTTTCAAGACCATGCATGTCGATTTCGTTGTCAAAGTGACCAATGTTGCAGACAATGGCATTGTTCTTCATCTTCCTCATGTGGTCAACCATGATGATGTCCTTGTTACCGGTGGTGGTCACAAAGATATCAACCTCAGAAACAACATCCTCAAGAGGAAGAACCTGGAGGCCTTCCATGGTAGCCTGGAGAGCACAGATTGGGTCAATCTCAGTCACAATCACACGGGCACCAGCTTGTTTCATGGCAGCAGCACATCCCTTGCCGACATCTCCATAACCAGCAACAAGAGCAACCTTTCCAGCAATCATAACATCAGTAGCCCTCATGAGACCATCGGGAAGTGAGTGGCGGCATCCATACAAGTTGTCAAACTGCAAACCAAACAGATCAATACAATTGTCAATCAATGAGCTTAATAACAAACATGACCCTGGTATAAATATAATAATCAAGATCTACTACTTTATGCATCTACTGTAAATAGCTTTTCCAAATGGAGCTATAAGTAAACCTATCTAAGCTAATCAAGTTGTCATTCTTCAACTAATCAAGTGAAAAACTATACACTTCACCATTCTTCCACTTTAAGCAAACAATCAATACAATAAAGTCATGAACTTATGAGGTTAAATAAGTACCATTTCTTCATGTAACAAGATCAGACATTTTAGAAACCATCTTTTCTATGCTTAACAATACGGATCTAGTGAAATATGCATCATCACATAAATATCTTACAAAATTTTCTAATCAGTGACTATATAACCACGCACTCCAATTAGAAAAGATGAAAACTTTTAGCTTTTCAAAAGGCAATAGCATTTATTCCTCAAACATTACCAAAACAGTAGAAGATTCATGATTCATTAATAAGATTCAACTCAAATATACATTGCACTTGTACAATAAGTACAAATCAATCAACATTAAGTTAACAGTATAGTTCCTCTGTATCAGATCCAAGCAATTATCAATCATTTCATAACAGATCTATATGTATAACTAGCACATGAACACTACACACAACCAATTCACATAGATCTGAAGCATAAGAATCAAAACAATAAGTTAGAAAGCACATATAATATACCTTGCTCTTGGTAACAGAGTCATTAACATTGATAGCAGGAAAAAGCAAAGATCCATTAGCCTGCATTTGGTAAAGCCTCTTAACACCAGTGGTAGTTTCCTCAGAAACACCAACAAGTCTCTCCTTCATCTTAGTGTACCTTAATGGATCAGTCTTTAAGCTCTCCTTAATAATAGTAAGCACAAGTTGAAACTCAACATTGTCAGTAGAAGTGGGATCTGGGACTGTTCCATTCTTAGCAAACTCCTCTTCAGCCTTAACTCCCTCATGAATCAACAGAGTAGCATCACCTCCATCATCAACAATCAGATCAGGACCACCACCTGGACCCCAGTCAAGTGCCCTCTCAGTACACCACCAGTACTCCTGCAAAGTCTCACCTTTCCAGGCAAAGACAGCAGCACTGTCACGTGCAATGGCTGCTGCAGCATGGTCCTGAGTTGAGAAGATGTTGCAAGAACACCATCTAACTTCAGCACCCAAAGCAGTTAGGGTTTCAATAAGGACAGCAGTTTGGATAGTCATATGCAGAGATCCAGTGATCTTTGCACCTTTAAAGGGCTGTGAAGGGCCAAATTCAGCACGTGAAGCCATGAGACCAGGCATTTCAACTTCAGCAAGCTCGATTTCGAGCCTGCCGAAGTCAGCCTGAGACATGTCCTTCACCTTGTACTCGCGGCCAGAGGTGGTCTTCTCAACGAGTAGAGCCATGGGTAAGGCGAGTATAAGAGAAAAGAAAGGGTTTAAGATGAGATCTGAGAGGCTTTTCTCTTCTTCCTTTGGGGTTTTTCAGGGAAGAAGAAGAATTGTGGCAAGAAATTTAGGGCGGAAATGAGTGGTATAAATAGGTTTGATTGTGGAAATGGACGGTCAAGATTTGTTTCAGATCTCTAATTTTTATAAGGGAATTTATTGGTTTTGGTAGATCTGATAAAGTTTATTAGTAATTTTTATTAAATATTTTTTTACATGTTTTAGTTTAGATTAAATCCTGGTCCTCTCTCGAATATATATTCATTTTCTCTCGTGATAGAAGAAAACTTTTGATGCTGAAAAGTATTATCACACGTTAATTTGATTTGTCCAATAAACTACTCGGGGCTCTCCATTCATCCACTCCCATATATATTTTTTCTATTAAGTAATATATCAGATAATAAAAATATATATTTAAGGACAATACAAATTTTAATTTTTATAAATGAGAAATTTTTGATAAAATATAACCTAAATATATGAGATTTCTGTACTTTTACCTTATTTTAGGATTATCAAAATCAGGGGCGGAGCTAGCCCTCTGATAGGAGATTCATCCGAACCGCTTCGACGAATTTTTTTTACTATGTATACATGATTAAATTATATTTTATGTAAAGGTGAAGCCAAAAGTTTCGATAAGGGATTTAAAATCTAAAAAAATTAGATCTACAAAATAGGTGAAGGAGATCACATTTCCTATATATATCTAAATTATTCTAATCATATAAAAATATATTATAAATGTTAAACCTATTTAATTATTTCATATATTTAATTCTTCACATATCAAATTTTCTTATTAAAATTTTTAGATCCGCCACTTATCAAAACCTACTTTAACTTCTCTTGTGGATGCATCTCAAAGACACGACTAAAGATAGTAAATCAATCTATAGTCGAGCACAGACACTAAACTGGCATTATTTCATTATTTTGTCATACCTGTATTAGTTTTGTCAAATTATTTGAACAATAATTATTTTCTTCGCTTAAATAGAATGATTAAATTTAATTTCATATGAAGTTTAAGAAAATAAAATAGATTTTTAAAATTTGTAATTTTAAACTAAAATTCTGTTAAATATATAAATTTATAATTTAATTTTATAGTCTTATACATGATGAAAATTGAAATTAAAATATTAATATAAAAAAAATTCTTTTTGAAGCAGTAAAAAAATGCAGTCCTTGTAAGATGTAAATTGAAGAGTTTTGTTTTTCTTTTGATGCAGCAGCTTGTGTCTCTAACTAACTAAAATAAAGAAATTTTGAAATTATAATAAAGTCTAAAAACGCTAGTTTTTATTATTATTATGGAGAGTATTATTCAGTTTATCAAAAAATAGGAAGAAAAAAATCAATTAGGTTTGGCCAAATGTCGTGATTAAGTTGTTCCGTCTTCAATAAGAGATTTTAAATTTAAGCGTATTAAAATTTTCTTTTTGATACAATGCATTCTTTCTTGAATAAAATTTAAAAACGATACGAATATAAATTTATTAGGCTCTGATACAAAAAAGTTACTTCTTTCATTTAAAAAAATATCCTAATTTTTTTTTAGTATAATTCAAAAAGAACGATCCTTTTCTTTTTTTGGTCAGCACTTTAACTTTAATTTTTCATGCGACATATTTAAGATTATAATATTAAATGACATTTAATATATTTGATGTAACTCTAATTTAGAATTATAAAATTAAAAAAAAAATTAACTTCTTTATAAATTAAATTATATAATTCTTTTTAAAACGTAAAGATTAATAAATAATAGATGTTGGCCGACAGGTATTATTGGACCCACACTTTGTAAATCTCAATGTAACGGCCATCTCGTCGGTGCTCTCACTCTCACACCGCCATACAAATTAGAAAATAGGAGTTCTATTAATTTTTTTATGTTAATAAAAAATAATGCCGTAAATTATTTGTAATTTAAAAGGTTAAGTGATAATTAATTTTTTTTTAATAAAAAAGTAGAAGATTTTTAAAAAAATCGTATACTATTAAATAGTCACCATAAAAATCTTATTAGTCCAACACTATCTACTATATACTCTAAATTCATCTACGGTAATATAGGTTCAAATCATATTTATATGTAAAAATTAATAGATATTCACATACTTATAAATAAAATCACTAAACAAAATTAAAAAAACATAATTTTAAATATAAATATATATATATAGAAAAGAAGAACGGATTGTACAAAGGGTAACGATTTCGTTTCGTCGCAAATCTCTATGTCCTTTCATCACCCAATATAAACATTTTTTTAATATTTTTTTTAATTATGCTAGTACTATATTATATGCATAATGTCCCACTAATTCGAAGCAAAATAATTAAAGGGAATAGAGAACAAAAAAGTTGGAGAATAGAGTATTATTATTATTATTATTATTATATAAAAGAACACCAACCCACCCCATCCTTTATTTATTTCTTTTCTTAAGCCTGGAGCATGAAGAAATTTAATAGAAACTATATATATATATATATATATATATATATATATATATATATATATATATATATATATATATAT